GTTCGAAGTTGCATCATTGAGCTTATTTTTGTTTTTAGGACGGTCGAGTTAATGCCTTGTATTCTACACCATCTATCTATACCGATGCTAAAAATGCAGCAAACCAGTCATGGCCACTGAAAACTGAGGATTATTTTCCGTGAGTATTATTCTCTCATTTTCCCTCTTTTATCTGCAGAATAGGACTTACTGACTTAATCTATTGCATACCAATGATTGCCAACAGGTATGCAGATGCGGTAGATGCTTATTGGACTGGATTTTTCACTAGTCGCCCGGGTTTGAAGGGATATATCCGCTTGCTAAGCGGATATTATTTGGTATGAAATTAAATTAGTCGTTATGGTAATCATCCATAGCATCTGATGCATTCTGTCAGTTTTAAGTGTAATCCAAGTGGTACTTTGGTGTGAACTTCTATTTTTGCAAAATAGGCGGCACGAGAACTAGAATTTCTGGCTGGAAGGAGAGCAAATGGTTCCAATACAGATGGCCTTGCAGATGCTTTAGGAACCGCACAGCACCATGATGCAGTCACCGGCACTGCCTTACAACATACTACAAATGACTACGCAAAGCGCCTTTTCATCGGAGCTTCTGAGGTCTCCAGCTAGTATCTCTACACCTTTTGATCCTTTGATTTTTTGCATTTGTCTCCGACACTGTTATTCATCGTCTGTGCTAAAATCTGCCTTAGATATCTTATGTAGCATAATGACATTTTATAGGCAGAAGCTGTTGTCAGTTCCGCTCTTTTGTGTCTAACTACAAATAAAACAGGAGATCAATGTACTAGCTCAACACCGACTTTTAGCCAGGTGATACTTCAATTCATTGTCATCCGTTGCGTTTGGATCATTAATGCTAATTTTCTGGATATACTTACAATTTGCTAATGTTGCATTGTTAAACAGTGTCAATCACTCAATATCAGTTACTGCCCTCCAACAGAGGAAGATATTCCACAAGGGAAGAGCTTGGTAATTTTTCTCCTTTTCTTCTAATTTACTTGTGGATAATTCGCGGATGAAATCTTTTGTTTATCATTCGTTCTCTTCAATTTCAGGTTGTTGTGGCGTATAATCCTCTTGGATGGAATCGGGCTGAGATTGTTCGGATTCCTGTGAGCATATGTTATTCGCATTTAGTTTATGCTGTCATACAGTCAATAGTGTAGGTTTGCTCACTTTTTCTGTTCAACCAGGTTAATGATGCAACTCTTTCTGTTCAAGATTCTTCGGGAAATATTCTTGAGGTACAATATGTAAGTTTGGACAATGTAACAGCGAATTTAAGAAACTTCTACGTAAAAGCCTACTTGGGACAGCCACCAGACCAAGTTCCAAAGTTCTGGCTAATCTTTCAAGTCTCCGTGCAACCACTTGGTTGGAACACATACTTCATTTCAAGAAGAACTACCAAACGTAGATGTACGCATCTTTCCTCTTTCCTTCAGGACCTTGGGAATTCTCAATTGTTATTCCTTATGAAGCTCATGTGCTCAAAGTATCCTAGAATAAATTATGTGCTATCTGCATTTCTTTGTGCCCCTTACTTCTGTAGTGAAGAGCGGAAATGGATTTCTTTCTGTGATGGACAGTCCACAGAATGGAACAATTGAAATCGGACCTGGAGATCTGAAAATGTCGTTTTCTTTAGCTTCGGGACAACTCAATCGGATGTATAATTCTAAAACAGGAGTAAGTTGTTTCACATGTGCAAGTGACAAAGTTTAGATTTACAGCCCTCAAAATAAAGAGCCGGTTTACTTTATTTATTTAGACTGTGGTGGAAGTTTAAAGCAATTTTAATTAACAATCATGTATCACCAGGTTGATGTACCGATACAGCAGAGCTACCTCTGGTATGGTTCAAGCAGAGGCGATGCCGATTCCCAGGTGTCGAATATTTCTGCTGGGACTTTGATTTACTTTAGCATGTAATTCCGGTCGATGAAGTGCCTGCTGAACTAACATGCAGTTTATGTGATCTATCCAGCAAGCTTCTGGTGCATACGTATTCCGGCCTAATGGCGCCCCTCCAACTGTTGTGTCAAGATCAGTAAGCCTTATTTTGAGTATTATCATGCACTTTCCACGCTTTGAATTACATGGAATTTCACTTTATAAAATAAGGATTGAGAGATAATATTTGGTTATTCACTATAAATTCTGAAAGTTTTTATTTTATTCTACAGGTTCCTTTAAAGGTCTTTCGTGGACCGATAGTTGATGAGATTCACCAACAGTTCAGTCCATGGATCTATCAGGTTATTGGCACTTTGTCAAATTGCTTTCTCTGGTTGAAACGTCTTTTGTATCGGAAATGCATAAATAGCTCACTGGATTTGTTTGTGTGAGATTCTACGTCCATGAGCGAGCTATACAGATCATTTTGGACCCTAATAAAACATAGTACAGAAGTGAAATTGAAGCTAACGTTGTCTTATGTTGTTACCAACTGCATTTTGCTAAACGAAAGATTTCATTTGTTATTAGGTCACTAGACTCTACAGAGACAAAGAGCATGCCGAAGTTGAATATACGGTGAGTCACGCACCTTCCATTTATTTGGACAATGGAAGCATAATTGCCTTTACTTTGAATGTCCACCGTATTCATCTGGCTGATAAATCCTCTCTTTATGCAAAGCAGTAACGTATTATCTTGCTAGACTCAAATCATGTAGTTCTGACATATTTTTGTTTTGAAGATCGGTCCTATTCCCACAGAAGACAGTGTGGGAAAGGAGGTCATCACAAGAATCACAGCAAACATGGAAACAAACAAGGAGTTCTACACCGATTCTAACGGAAGGGACTTCATTAAACGGGTATCTCATACAAATTAGTAGTCTACACGGAAAATTTTAACAGATGAAGTTTGCTGGTTTATCGTTGATTTGTCTTGTGAATTCTTAAATTTGGAAAAGTTAAGTAACACTTAAGTCAGGGTTTTGCAGGTGCGAGATTATAGACCAGATTGGCCCCTTGTGGTTAATCAACCTGTGGCAGGAAATTATTATCCAGTAATTTCTTCAATTTTCTTACGTGATATACGCACTTACACCACAACTAGCTAATCTCATTGTATATATGGTGTGATCAGTTAATAGTAATTTTGCTAACGGTAGCTATCTTCTTGTATTTTCAGCTAAGTCTTGGAATGTTTACTTCGGATAACAAATCCGAGTTCTCAGTCTTGGTTGATCGTGCCACTGGAGGATCAAGCATTGAAGATGGACAAGTAGAGCTGATGCTTCACAGGTTTGATTCCGACAGACTAATTTTCAGCATCCAGGTCAAATAACTGCTTTATTATGGATATGGATATGTTGACCTAATTCTCTGTGCTTGAAACACAAGGCGTCTACTTGAGGACGATCCAAGTGGACTGGGTGAAGCTCTTGATGAAATAGTGTGCATCGAAGAAAATACATGCGAAGGACTAACGGTATCATGTTATACAACAATAGTAGTTTCTATTTCTATGAACTTAGAGTAAAAACGCTTATTTCTTGTACGTTTTATATTTTTCGCAGGTTCGAGGGAACTATTATATGAGCGTAAACCAGGCAGGGTCGGGTGCCCCCTGGCGCCGCACAACTGGCCAGGAAGTTTACTCTCCGCTTCTTCTAGCATTCGCCCACGAGGTCTGACTTCACCATAATTACAGAAGACTTAGTAAAGCTTCATTGCTGTTGATCTTATAATATACGATTTTAATTTTCAGAAAATGGAGGATTGGACTGCATCACATTTGACAAAATCATCTATCATGGATTCTAATTACAGCTTGCCTCTCAATGTTGCCTTAATTACTCTTCAGGTAACTGTAAACCACTGAACAACGAGACGAGTGCCCGTTAATTTTCACTCTCTCTCTGGCTCTCTTTCTAACATTCTAGTTTTGCAGGAACTGGATGACGGTAGTGTGCTCCTTCGGTTAGCTCATCTATATGAGGTAAAAAGATGTGCAAAAGAACGCGCTAGTGACATAATTGATTTGATGATGCAGTTAATTTAGTTTGTGTTCACTTCTTTTACGCTATTGATTCTACCAGGCAGACGAAGATCCTCAATATTCAACACTGGCCAAAGTTGAACTGAAGAAGATGCTTACAAGAAAAGCGGTACATTTTATTGTACATTGTTTCGCCCGACATACGTTTTACAGTATAATTGACGATTGCCATAATGTGCATGTTGGTGATTGTACTTTTCAGATAAGGGAGGTGAAGGAAATGAGCTTGTCTGCAAATCAAGAGAAGTCGGAGATGAAGAAGATGACATGGAAAGTCGAGGGTGACGGTGGAGATGTACCTACACCGGTTAGAGGGGGGCCCGTCGATGGCTCAACTCTTGTTGTTGAGCTTGGACCCATGGAGATACGCACCTTTGTATTGAGATAACTTGCAGCGCAAGCAATAGGTATGGCATGCAAATTATGTGAGAACCATATAAATGATATATAATTGGATTGGACTGAGGTAGCTCAGGTTGGGTGAGAGAGAGAGAGAGAGAGAGAGAGAGAGAGAGAGAAGCCTCATGTTTATCTATAGAGGAATGTTGAACACACCACCAATCAAGTTACTAAATCACCGACATGGTATGCTATTAGTGAATTATTTTTTGTATATGTGTCAGACTGTGATTGACAGGTACAAAGGGCTATAGCTACTTAACTATAAGGAGCGAAACAGTGCTCAATTGGATATGTTGACTTAAGTTTCTATTTCAGATAAAACAATGTATCATAGACTGAAACAACGCTATCTTACCATTTTTCCTGTAAACATCTTCTTCAGTTCAACTTTGGCCAATGTCGAAAACTCAGGAACTTCAGCTGCCTAGACACGCGACAAACATGGAGGAAGTGAGTGTAGATGCGCTAGATTAAGCAGTACACTTCCATCTTACAATTCCTGTAAAACAAGGGTGAGTGAAAAGTGAGAGTAACAGACGCTCTATATATTCGTTCAACGGTAAATTCACATTTTACAGTCACCTGAAGAGTAATTAGAGCAACATTGAGAGGCAAGTTGTAATTTGGATCCATGGAAGGTGTTTTTGTCACATGAGATGCAGTCCAGTCCTCCAATTTCTAAACAATACCAAACATATTACACAATCAAGAGCTAGTTACGAAATCCAAATCGACATCCTTCCATCCAAATAGGTGCTTAATGTAGTAGTCGAGTCATACTTCATGAGTAAAAGCCAGAACAAGTGGAGAGTAAACTTCTTGTCCAGTTGTCCTGCGCCAGAGAGCTCCATCCCCTACTCGGTTGATGCTCACATAATAATTTCCTCGAATCTGAAATGAAAAATATAAATCAAGATAAAGATAACGTGATCAGAAGCATAATGAACCGGTTTTGGTGTAAGATTGTTAATTTCATCGATGCAGACAATTTCGTCAAGGCTTCATTCATTCCTTTAGAGTCGTCGTACATTAGACGCCTTGCGTTTGAACAACGAAAATCAGGTTAACATGTGGACACATCAAGATTATGATAGTATGTCTAAAACAAACCTGTGAAGCATCAGCTCTACTTCTCCATCTTTAATGCTGGATCCTCCAATGGCGCGATCAACCAAGATAGAATTCAGGTTTGTTATCCGATGTAAACATCCCAAGATTTAGCTGAAAAACAACATCATACCGGCGTCAATAAGAACCTTAAACAGTTCAAACCATTTTTCATGTGAACTAGTGCTGAGAAACTTAATGGATAGTAGTTTCCGGCTACAGGTTCATTAACCAAAAGGGACCAGTCTTATCTATAGTCTCGAACCTGTGAAACCATGATTCGAGTCAGCATTTATATAACCCTTATGAATTAAAAACACTCGAGACAAATTTGCATCTCTTCATCAAGAATTACCCGTTTTATGAAATCCCTCCCGTTTGAATCAGTGTAAAACACTTTGTTTGTGGTCATATATATTCGTTGTCATTCGCATGATGACGTCTTTTCCCACACCATCTTCTACTGGAATTGGACCGATTTTAAAAATAAAAGTATATCAGAACGTCAAACACGGTTGATTTCAGAATAAAGCGTAATGTCTGTTTTTCATGAGAATAAAACTGTTAGTATATATCGCTCACAGTGTATTCAAATTCAGCGTACTCTTTATCTTTGTATAGTCTGGTGACCTGATAGATCCATGAGGTGAACTTTTGGTGAATCTCATCTAACAGAGGTCCACGAACAACCTTCAATTGTACCTGTAGAATGGCTAACAATGTATATCAAGCTAAAACGTACAAAGATAAAACACATGTAACGAATATAATGAGGCTTCGCAAATACATGGTGACATGGAAAGATGGCATACAGATTTTGACACAGCATTTGGAAGGGAGTCGCTAGGCCGGAATATGTATGCATCGGATTCTGCTCAATAGATCATACAACTTTAAGTTAGTACAAATGACACAAGGTATGTTAGAAATCAAACCTCCAGACCTGCTCAACCAAACCTTGCAGCTAGCAACAATGGGAAAAGGGAATTGGAGAAGATGAGATGAAGCACAATTCTCAATTTCTGTATTGATTTTCAACCACGCATTGCAACTGAATTACAAAAGCATATATGCTTTGCGAATGCCAGATGGTGAAATGCAAAACAATCTAACAACTTATAAGTTCTATTAAAATTTTGCCCCAAAAGTTAACATATTAACCCCAACATTTATTTAATATCAAAACTGATCACAAACCATAACAATACTCCCCCCTTCGACAAAACCTTGTCCACAAGGTTCAAACTTGGAAATCTGGAAACTTCATTGTAAAGGTGTCATAATCCTCCCAGGTGGCTTCACTGTCATTGCGATCAACCCATTGAATCAGCAATTGGACTCCTGCAACAGTGCCTTTCCGATACATCCTGCGAGCTAGAACAGCCTTAGGAATAGCTTGGAACAAGCCATCAACAGTAACTTGTGGAAGAGTGGCACCAGCAACCACATCAGTACCCAATTTCTTTTTAAGATTGCTCACATGAAACACTGGATGTATTTTGGTACCCTCAGGGAGTTTCAATTTGAAGTTTATGATACTAGTGTGGTGCTAAGGACTGAAGCTGATATGGTACTAGTCGCAGGTAAACCAAGTCACCAACTTCAAACACCCTTTCACTCATTCTCTTGTCAGCTTGAACTTTCATCCGGTTTTGAGCCAAGTCAAGGTTATGCTTGAGTACATCCAGGATCCTATCCCTCTGTTGTAAGAGTTGCTCCACTGATTCCACCCGTGTAGACCCTTCTTCATAAGGACAGATATGTGGAGGAGGGTAACCATAGACCACTTCAAAAGGGGTAAAGCCAGAAGAAGTGTGATAAGAGGTGTTGAAACACCATTCAACCCAAGATAACCATTGCACCCATTTCTTCGGTTGGCCTCCAACAAAACATCGTAAGTAAGTCTCCAAACATCTATTCAACACCTCTGATTGACCATCACTTTGTGGATGGTACCCCGAACTCATTGACAACTTAAACCCTTGCAATTTAAAAAATTCCTTCCAAAAATTGCTTAAAAAGATGGGATCACGATCACTCACTATAGAGCTTGGCATGCCATGGAACTTAAACACATTATCAATGAAGACTTGGGCCACTGTGGCAGCACTGTAGGGATGAGCTAAAGCCATGAAATGGCTATATTTGGACAGCCGGTCGACTACCACCATTATGACAGACTTGGTTTTACAAAGAGGCAAGCCTACGATAAAGTCCATGCTTATAGCAGTTCACACCTTACTCGGAATAGGTAGGGGTTGTAAGAGTCCAGGAGGAGACACTGTTTCAAATTTGTTTTGTTCCACATTGAGACACAAAAGCTTGGATATCCTTCTTCATACCCTGCCAATAATACAGTTTTTTGATCCGGTGATAAGTCTTTAAAATGCCCTGATGTCCAACTGCAGGAGTAGAATGATACTCCTCAATAATCTTCTGTCGCCATGAAGAAATCGAACTAAGTACAATTCGATGCTTGTAGCACAGAAACCCATTGTCCAGAGTATATTTGGATGCAACTGAAGCCCCTAGTGTACCGTGGGCGGGGAAAAGCACTTCCCTGGTCTTGGCAATTACCCATTCATCCTTCTCAATATCTCGCTGGAACTCGTCTAACCACCCAAAGTAGGGGTAGGAAATGGCAGCACAACTCATCTCAATGGCAGAAACTGGAGGGTCACCAATATCAAATTGTAGTGTTTCAGAAATTCTCAAGAGGGCATCAGCCACCACATTATCATTGCCCTTCTTGTACTGTATCTCATAATCAAACCTAAGGAGCTTAGAAACCCACTTCTGTTGGAAGGAAGTATTGGCTCGTTGACTGAGAAAATACTTAAGACTGTTGTGGTCAGTCCTTATGATGAAGTGTCGCCCCTGTAAGTAATTTTGCCATTTCTTCACGGCATGAACTATGGCAATAAGTTCTTGCTCATAGGCAGAGAAGGCTTGGTTCTTTGGGCCTAATGCTTTGCTTGTATAAGCTATGGGTCGTTTGCCTTGCTGTAGGACTGCCCCAATGCCATTCCCTAAGGCATCACATTCTATCTCAAAGGGCTGTGTAAAATCTGGAAGAGCTAATACCTGCGGAGACATCATAAGGGACTTAAGATGGTTAAATGCATCCTGGGCAGTGGCATCCCAAGTAAACCCGTCCCTCTTGGTTAAATTGTACAGTGGCTGACATATTTTTCCATAGCCAGGGATGAACTTCCTGTAATAGCCAGTAAGCCCAAGGAAACCCCTTAACCCTTTCACTGTCTTTGGAGGATGCCAATCTTTTATAGCCTGTAACTTAGATGGATCAGCTTGCACCTCATCTGGAGAGACTACATGGCCTAAATACTCCACACAATTCTGCCCAAAACAACACTTAGAGTATTTGAGAAATAATTGATTCTGTTGTAAAACCTGAAACACAATTGCAAATGGTGCAAATGATCTATCCATGTCTTATTATAGACCAAAATGTCATAAAAAAAGATGAGAACAAATTTTCGCATAAAAGGTTTGAATAAATCGTTCATGAGGTTTTGAAATGTGGCCGGAGCATTAGTAAGCCCAAAAGGCACTACTAAAAACTCATAGTGGCCCTCATGGGTACGAAATGCAGTTTTCTCAACATCTTCATGACTCATTAGTATTTGATGATACCGGGATCGATGATCAAGTTTAGAGAAGTAGACTGCACCAAAAAGCTCATCAAGTAAATCATCAATAAGTGGTATTAGATACTTGTCCTTCATAGTCAGTGCATTTAGCTCCCAATAATCAATACACATACGCCAAGTGCCCTCTTTCTTCTTAACCAAGAGGACATGGAAGGAAAAAGGATAGTGGCTGGGACGAATAAACCCCGAGTCGAGTAATTCTTGCACAGTTCTTTCAATTTCAGTCTTCTGTATAGGACCATAATGATATGGCCGCAAATTTGGAGGTTTGGCGCCTGGAACCAAAGGAATGTGGTGGTCATGACCTCGAGAAGGTGGAAGCTTAGAAGGTAATACAAAGATGTCTTCGAAAGCCCCAAGTAACTCATTTAGTTCGTGTGATTATTGAGGAGATAATGCAGAATGGTGCAATAACTGACCCTCCATAGAATAGAGGAAGAGACCCAAATGAGAGTTAGAAAACTCTTTATCCAAGTGTTGCAATGAAACTTCCTGAATAAGTGAGGCAATAGGTGGGCTGTGAGTCAATTTGTAGTGCTGAGCATTGGCAGAAAATTCCATGGTCAATAGTTGGAAGTCCTAAAGAACAGGACTTACAGAAGACAACCACTGGACCCCAAGCACCACGTCACAACCACCTAAAGGAAGAGAGTATAAGTCAACTACACAATTGTACCCTCCCAAACAAAGGGCAGTGTCCCTACAACAACCCGAGCTCCGGACAGTTCCTCCATCAGCGATCATAACCTCAAAGGCTTGAGTACTTTGTGCTTGGCGAATCCATTTCTTAAGCAACAGAGAATCAATGAAATTATGAGTACTCCCGGAGTCCAATAAAATCTTGACAGATTGTCCAAGAACCACATCATTAACCTTCATAGTTTGAAAAGACTGTTTAGCAGTGGTTCCATAAAAAGCACACTCACTTAAAGACATTGCCAATAACTCAGGAGGAGCATCATCAACATCAGTGAATTCACAATGAGCATCAGAATTAACAAAATCCAACATGAGTAATTGTTTTAGGCCATATTTATGCCCCGGAACCCATTTATCAGGACAAAACCAGCATTCTCCTTTGTCTCTCTTCAGTTGAATCTCGGCATGAGTTAATTTCTTAACAGGCACATGACCAGCTCTGAGGACCCGCAGGGGCAGAAGGAGGAAGAAGTAGTGGTTGAGGTTTAACAGGGATAGAAGTTCGAGGTGTAGTTGCTTTGAGCTCGGTAAGTTTAGAGTCTAATTGCCCAGCAATAACAATAGCCTCATGTACAGTTGTCGGTTTCAAAAGCTTAACATCAAACTTCAATTCACGTTTTAATCCCCCAAAAAAAAGCTCTTAAGGAGAATAGGCCCAATTCCAGTGGTACGATTGGCTAATCTACGAAATTCCACAACGTAATCGCACAGGGTACCTGTTTGCCTCAATTTGAATAATGCCTCAGCACTATCCTCGAACTCATTTGGGCCAAATTCTCTACAAAAAACCTTAGTGAAAGCTAACCAGTCCGGAGTAGATGTGAGACAATTTATCCATTGAAACCACTGCAATGCTTC